TCCCACATATGAGGGCCAGTGACACTGCCCTCCACAGCTAAGATGCTGAACAACAGCTCAACCTGGAGCTGGGCTGCTGTGAGTCACCAGCGATGGCGTAGGCTGCAGTCCCTATGGCAGTGGGTTGCCATGGGCTACCGTGTGTAGCCAGCAGCCAGCGTGAGCGGCCAGCAGCCGCTGTGAGTTGCCGTCCAGAAGCCGACGACTGATCTGCCTTGCCTGGGAAGAGCGCAATGATGGTGCCAACTTGGGCCAATGAGGCGATGTCCTCCACAACTAGACTGAAGAACAAAACAACAGCAACTTGTCTGTTCCCCTTCCCCCAATTCCCCAGGGCTGTTCCCATCCCCCAATTCCCAATAAAAAAATCTTTGAAAAAAAAAGATTCATTTTTCTTATCTGAGGGACTCAAATTCCCACTGAGCATGGGGAGATAAGGACCATTTTGATTTCAAGATCTGTAAAGAATTTTATCTGAAATCATTTTCTAGTCCTTCCAAAATAAAGCTTTAAAGCCATGTAAGGGCAGGAATACACACACACAGACACACACACACACACACACACACACACACACCAGGGGTGACAAAAATGTATACAAGTGGACACTTTGGTCAACGTTGCTCAAGCAGTAGTCCATTGTAATCAGAAGTGTCCGGACGCTGAGATAACCACTTTTAGCACCGCGTGTAAGTGCAGAAGTCAAATGTGACTGGTATTCATCTTTTGTTACCAGTATATATTGACTATTACAATTTTAATTGTTTTTTTCTTTCTTAAAATGTGTATTTTTTGACACTCTGTGTGTGTGTGTGTGTGTGTGTGTGTGTGTGTGTGTGTTTATGTCACAGGCTTAAGGCAGGGCTAGGTCCATAGTAAGAACTTGGCGGGAGGGTTATTAGCTTGTCGGAATGAGCAAATGGAAATTGCTCCTTGACCTTGGTGATTTTCTATTCTGGAGCAAAAGGAAAGAACTTGCAGAGAAAAGAAATCAAAGTCTACCCACATAGCACAGCTAAACTAGAAGCAGCAGATGGTACCTTCCTCTTGGGGAAGAGTGCAGCTACCAATTCACCAAAATGAAGGGCCCCCAGTGCCCTTGACTTCCCAGCTCTTCTACCCTCAGGCTTCCATGCTGCCTGAGGAAACTACACATACCTCTTCCTCCAACTTTACCACCTTGGCCTGGGCGTTGCTCAGGGCCTGGTCTCGGATTTCGATGTGTCGCCTTTGGTCCTCATTGGTAGAACGGGCAGTGGCCAGCTCTGCTTCCAGCTTCTCCTTCTCCCGCTGGCTTTCCTTATCTATCAGGACATGAAATAGCAACACTGCCATTCCGGAGCTGGCTCAAAACCTTACCTGAGCAAAATTAATAACCATACCCATTACTAAACATTCTAGTGTTCTAACACACAGCTAAATGAACCAGGAAGCCAAGATCTGGACTCTATTACTGGGTTGACCACTAACTTGCTGTGTAAATTAAGAGTAGTCATTTAACAATGGTTGTTGTGCAGAAGCAATGAGAAAGTAGATATAAAAACTGTTATGAAAAGTATTACAGAAAGGAGAACATACACACAAATATTAAAAGAACCGGTAGGCTTGTCTCTTCAATTTTGTATCTTCAAACAGTTTTGTATTGGCAAAAGAACAATTGACCCCCCCTAAATTTCCCCATTGTTTCCTCATGAAAGCATATTAAATCGATCTAAAAATGGTGTTTCATAAACTATAGAAAACCTCAAATCCCGCCCTTTATTCATTAACATACATTATTTTTTAACTGAGATCAATCCAGAATTGCATTATAACTACAGATGAGCATGACACATGTAATTATGCCCCATGCCTTTCTAGGTTCCTTCCCTTTTAATTAGACAGACCTCATACCAGAAACTCAAATGAGCAGTTTTGCATCTCATTTAGAAGTAAAGTGCCTTTCCTCTCGAAACCTTAATACTCAAGTTTGTAGGAGAAACTTTAATAGGGTAGCCTTGCCTTCCTTCCCACTCTGACTTTACATATCCATTCAGATGTACCTTGGAAAGAAACGAATCTTTGTTGAATACTTATTACATACCAAATGTTGTATTAACTTAATCATCAGAACAACAGTATAGGGAAGGTATTATTCTCTTGTTCATTTTACATATGAGCAAACAGAGACTCAGAGGGCTTGAGTAAATTGTACAAGGTCCCACAATTGGTAAATAAGTAGTGGAGACCATACTTAAGGCTAAGTTGTTCTAAACTCTTTCTACTGTACCAGGCTGCCTTCTCCTAGTGTCCAGTTGGTTTGCCTTCTCTAGGGTAGTTTAAACACATTCCCCAGGGAGACTTTTCAAGAGGGCTTTCTTGGATCCTGCCATAGTCCCAACCATGTGGCACCCTGTGGATATCCAAAGGTAAAAGAAATTAAGGGGCCACAAGTCATGCCCTCTTCCTTGCCTTCTAAGTCGAGTTCATTTTTCTCTTCTAGAAACATTTATGTCTTTCACTCTGCTGTTAATATAGTTCAATCTGCTAAATTACCACATTTTATGAATTAGTAGCAGAGCTACTAGGACAACCAAAATGCCATCTTCACACAGGTAGGAGTGTCAACTAGCAGATCCAAGGCAAGAATCCATACATTTTCTGTTTTGTTTTGCTTTGGTTTGTCCTAAGAGGCTGCCACCCTCTCTACCTGTGAACTAGCTTCCATGGTAACCATGACACCAGAAAAGCAACTGCACAACAATTTACACTAGGCACTGATGACACCAGAAAAACTACATTCCTTCCTCTAAGACATACTGACAAAGGAACAGGAGGTTCAGGGAAATAAGGAAAAAAAAGTCCCAGTTCTGAAGCCAGCGCACAGTTGAGCAAACTAGGAAGGGAGGGAGATATTACTGCAAGTAAAGATCAAACAGACTCATAAAAGCTGACTTGGAAGTTGCATGGAGTAACTTGGAAGGGTCATGTGGAAGCCCAGCAAAGGTGGAGCCTGACGAGTCCCCACCAAGCACTATTCCAGCTGGGAGCTGCGCCGAGGGAGGCTAGGGGTAGGGGACACCAACTACAGGCATCTGCTGAAGTGGGGGTAGTACATCTGTTTCCCCTGAACTCATTCTCCCTATGGAGTCAATCCACTGTATAGTTTTTATTGCTGGATTTATTGTGGCACTTGGAAAGAATGAGGCATTGTCTAGCTGGGTGGGGTCCATTTTGGACCGATAAAGAAGAGGATTAATTCATTGTCAGTCCTAGGAGTATTTCCTGACAAAGGAAACACTGTTATAAGAGACATAGCTCTGGTTTCTACCATACCCTCCAACTCTGTAACCAGAGTTGCAATCCACCAAGGTATAATTATAATAATACAGGGTGTTTTAACTAAGGGAGCCCCAGGTTCAGGTCAGGTATTGCAAACACTAATCATCAATCCTGCATGTAAATCCCATCTCAACCAGAGCCAGCACATGGAGGCTTCAACAATAAATGCCTTCAACATTAAAGAACCCCATGGTCACTGAGGTCCTTTTCAGTGAGCCATGGCAAAAGCAGGGATTTCAAGGGGCTTCTCCTGTTTAATACAGAAGGAGCCATGTTGATGTGACTAGATGTTGTGGCAAACAGCCTTCTTGGCTAGGAGGAAAAGATTAAAATCTCCCAACTTCATGCTTGAACAGGAAAAACACTCCCTAAATGACATGCACTCTACCCTGGTTGTTCTAGAAGGCTAAATAGAACTGTGTGACCTCTTCACACACCTCATTCCCCTCCACACATTAATACCTGCTGCTGAAGCTTTCAGACTTACTTTTTGCAAAGAGCTGAGAGATGGTTTTTCTGGTATCCTCTGACCCCTCATATTCCTTCTCTGCAAGCTGCTTGTTGGCTGTCTCTAGACGCTCTGTGGAATTAGGACACAATAAACCGGGTCCCATGCACAAACTTCCATGCACGTACTGTTGGCCCTCTCAGTACTGATCTTGGGCAAAACAAGCCTGCTTCTTCTTATTACACAGGAATGGGTGACACAAACATAGGTTTGCAAATGAGGATCCCGAAACAACATTAGACCATGGCAGGGAAAGGGGAGGTGAGTACTTAACGCTTCAGTCCCCATTGGCAAAACCATAGTACAGAACTCTAAATTTCCACAAAGTAATTTATCCCTGAATATGATAGCTTTCATTCACCAGGCAAGAGCACCAAATTATTATAAAGTCTTCAAAATCATGTAATGTCAAAGCTGGAAGGGGACCATAGGCAGCATCTAGTTCAGTTCCTTCATTTTATAGACAAGATGCCCTAAACCCAAAGATAAAAAAATAACATCCCCAGGGCCATCAGTTTTGAAGGTGGTTCTTTCTCACCATCTTCAATGTTATACGTTAAGGTAAAAATACAAAGAGGGAATCCTAGAAACAATGGAGGATATCACTATTTCAAGCTTTACCAAAGACAGGCCTCTGTAAAACCTATAAAGGAAGAGAGGCAGCACGGATTGTGTGGGTCAGCCAGGTAGTTCCAGAAGTCCCAGGATGGGCACTGTACGATCAACACATCAGCTCATCACACTCTGATTAAGCAAGCTTAGGACCAAGTACTACTGTGGTCACAAAAACCTAGCCTGGTTTATACCCTGCAATTTACTGATCATACTAGTGGTCTGGACAAACCTAAGAGCCTCAAGGTATGCGACTGAGCTCTTCCCTTCACCATCTTGGCCAGTGTGTCAAAAGTGATTCCCTCACCTCTCAGATCCCTGTTGAAGTCATGCATCCTTCGAATCTCGCCCTCGAGCTTGTTGCGCATGGCTTTTTCCAGGGCCTCTCTTTTGGAGGATGACTTCACAAGGTTCTCATATGCCTCCGAGACACGCTGGATTTCTGTCTCCACCTGAACAACAACACAACAACAACAACAAAACAAAACACAGGAAACATAGTAGGGATGGTAGGAGCTGGAGGGAAAGATAGTCTGAAAACATACATGTGACTCCTTAAGGAGGGCTTCTCCCAGGGCTTTTTCAGATAGCCAGCAGGCAAGCGTAACACAGAAAAGAAAACATCTCCAAAAGGACTTATACATTCAACCTTAAGTTCAGTAATTAACTCACAGGGTCATGATATTTCCCCAGGTTTTTACAAATACCTGTTTCTGCTTTCAGAGAAGGTGGTAGGAGAGAATAAATTTCGTAAGTATAGTTATAAGTGATTTTCATTTCTGAATAAGAATTTTCTTAATTTTGAATATAAAAATAATGCATATAATATAGACAACGTTATTCTAGAGCAGGGGTCGGCAAACTGCGGCTCGCGAGCCACATGCAGCTCTTAGAATATGTTCCTGTCTCAAAAGTTTGTGGACCCCTAGAAGAGCCAATCCTGTCCTTCACAACAATTTAAAAATTATTCAAGAGACATAAATACATGTTTACATAATCACCATTATGTGAATAATAGCCTTTAAAAATTGTATAAATGAAACTATGATAGTTTTATTTTCATTTTCAATTTTACTTCAGAGCCACAGGTACGTATCCAAAGAGCCGCATGTGGCTCGCGAGCCACAGTTTCCCGACCCCTGGCGGCTTTTGTCTCAAAATTCTGACGACCAAACCCTGTTCTAGAGCATACAAAGGGCTTTCACATGTTTATTTCTATCATCCTGATCTCGGCCTTTGCAAAGATACCTCTCCCAATTTTAGCAAAGAGCAGAGTTAAACTGTCTTTTCCAAGATGAAGTTAGCAGCAAAAGCAAACCGTAAAAACTCTAAGCCTCAAACTCATCTAGTAGTAGTTCAGTTCAATTTAACAAATATTTAACAAGGGCCAAATATTTATAAGAACGCTTTAAGGCACTGTGGGGTTTGTAAATATGAGTGAGGACATCATCAAAAAGCCCTCAAGGAGCTTTTGAGCTAATTAGGTAAAATAATATAGGAAAAGAGACAATATTAAGAAAAGTAGTAGAGGTGCTATAAAGTGCAGGTGAGGAATAAGTTATTCCTGGTTAGGGGTAAGGGAAGGGGAGGACAATTTCAGGTAGGGAGTGGCATTTAGAGTCAGATCCTGAAAGCTGGGTCAGATATCAATGAGCAGAGGTGAGGGGAAGGGTATTCTATTCTGAGTGAGTGAATGCATTCCTAGAATGACCAGTAGTCCCATTTGGCTGGACACTGTGGGGTACACAGAGGGAAACTGGTGAGATCTGGCTGCAAAGATAGATTGGAGTCAGACTAGAGTCAGCTCATAAAAGGGCTTTAATGCCACGCACTTGGACTTTATTCCATAGTCAGTGGGAAGCCAGTACAAATTTGTGACCAGAAATTCATGGTCTGAGTTTAGTTTTATGACACCCCTGCAAATCTTGTAAAATGGAAAAAATAACACAAAACCTCAAAGGGAAAAGGTTTTGCCCTGAATCAGCCCAAATCAGGAAGAAAATAAAAAAATTATACTCCAGAGTCTTCCTGGAACCAGTATAGCTTCATTGCACATATAATAACTACATAGATATTTGCATATAATTTGTGTAAGACAAATAAACCCCATGATTATTAAGCAATATTCAAATTAATTATGATTCCTGCAACCGTTCTGCATTTGTTCTCAGTTTGCCACTATCCTTCTTAACAAATCTCAAGGTACTTTGTGGAGAGAAATATCAGGCCCCCTGTGGAAGACTGGGGAAAAGGTGGGATTACCAAACAACTCAGATTCCACCTGCCCCAGCTCCAAAATTATGCCTGATGCAGGACTGCCTGCAAACAAATGAGGTTTACACCACAGAAAAGAGCAGACTTGAGAGTGTTTGTCTCCTTGCAGATGGCACCAAGATAGCAGCACAGAAGGAGAAAACTGGTGAATGGCATTTAGAGACATGATCTGCAAGGCCTGAGCCTGATAAAGCTTCTGTGTGAAATTCAAGTGCTGAGTAGAGAAAAGAAGCATTTCCATTTGAAAGAGCAGCTTGGTGTTGGTCTCCTCTGGGCAGCCTTTAGAGTACAAGGCTTTCCAGTTCCTCACAGAAGGCCACACCTGGAAGGCAGTCCCTCTACTCAAGTTGTTCAGTAGTACTATTTCAAGATCTTGTACCAATCCTTTCCCTGTGTAGATACTGTACCCTCCAAAAGAGCAAGCTGTACTTCTGTCAATAAAACCTTCCAGGAAAAGAAGTCACTAAGGGTACATCTACTAGTTTGGACTGTGTGATGGTGGGGGCAGAGAAGAGGGCGAGTGGTGGTGGGTTTCCACGCTTATTCTGTTTACTTATTCCTCTCATGAACCTCGGGTCTTATTTGTTCTAGCACCAGCTAGTATCTACCACGTTATTCTCCCCACATTCCTTTTCCTCTTCTACCTGACCTGTGCCTCTCATCTACTGCAGCACTGGGTCAGCCTTTACTTCCCCCAATAACCAACCTGTGCCAATTACTCTTGGCTGAGGCATCTTTCCTCATACTGCGAAACAAACAACACAAATCCTATTATACCCCTCTTCCTGCCACCCACCCACCCCTCAAAAATTAACCATGGATCCTTTGATGAAGAGGACCTATACAAGATTTGGGTTCATCCTTCAGCTACTGCATCAAAGATGGCGTCGAGGCCACCCTGAATAGATACTTAGGGAGGGGTATTAACTGTTAAACCTAATCAGCCAAACCGGACCAGTTTGCATCTAGTGTGTGTGTGAATATGGTCAATTTATTGCACCAATGTGATGGGAGGGGGGGAGTAGAGCTAAATGAGCTGAGAGAGAAAATTTAAAATTGGTGGCAAGCTAGGGAGAAACAGTTCTCACTCAACCCCAGCAACCCTCATCCTGATTTGGGAACACTGGGGGGAAAGCATTTTTGCCACATAAAAAATACTTAGCTGACTTCCTCTCTCCCTAAGGACTCAGATCTGTTGTTTACATATTCTCAGCTTCTGCGGGTCCCTGAAATTTCCACTCAAGGGTGTCTCCTAAGGACAGAGTTGCTGAACAATACCAGGGAACCTCCCCTCCCTTCCCCACCTTCACCCTTACCTCCCTGAACAGTTTACATTGTCAGGAGATCAAACCACTTGAGCTCTACAATGACAAAAGCTTCAAAGAGGCTGCCAAAGGCATAACCCTATGCACCAACAGCCCCTGGAAGCCAAGAGCTAAGGTTCCTTGCTTAGGGCACTCACCAGCTCAAGTCCCAGCTGCAGGCGATAGGAGGGGCCCAGGGAAGAATGTGAACTGAGGACATATACTCCTTTTCTATTGGGTTGTCGTCGGGAAAGTCATGACGTATTTTTCTATGGTTTTCAAAGCAAAATGTGTCATGACTTTCCCGAAGACCCAATATTTCCTCAGCCCAGAGCTGTCACCTGTCACCCAGCTGTGGTGCGAAGCCCCTCCTGACCCCCATACACACCAGAGAAAGAGAGCAGATGTTGAATTTGAGCTGTAGGGAAGGACCAAAGCAAAAAGGAGGAAGGGAGGGGTGTTGAAAAAGAGTTACCATGGGAACTCCCACTCAGAAAAGTGCTCGAAGCTGTTTCCAGAACAAGGCAGGAGCAGGATATAACTTCAGTAGGGAGATTTTTTTTTCCTAGGAACTATGGTTTTATATTTAGGATTAAAATTCAGCATTTGGGAAAATATAATCAAGACAGAAAGTCTTTATGCTGGCAGTTCCTTTACCTACACAGACATCACCAGTATTCTTGATCTTATGAAGAAGTGTCTTTGCGTTCTGGAATTCTAAAGCAATCAATTAAGTTTTCTTTAGGGCTATGGTTTCTGGAAAAACTGTATAAATATGGTTTTTTTTCTCCTCGCATAAGTGTAAAATGTTCCTTCTCCTAGAAAGACAGGCAGGAGGCTTTTCCTAAAGTTTGATCCATATCTAAACTTCAGATATAAGAATTGTGAAGACCTGCCCATAAAATCATGCGGACACCCACAAGTGCAGACTTTTACATTGATATCAAACAAAAAAGGTTTAAAGGAGACTCTAATATCCTAACACAGGGGCCTCACCTTCTGCAGTCTTGCCACCTTCTCGTAGCATCCTTCCAGCTCCTGCCGTAAGTTCCGGTTCTCATCTGAAAGTATCTCAACCATCTGCTGGGCTCTGGAAACAATGGCAAAAGGGTCTGCTGGCATTGGCTGATAAGAAGCAGAGGACTGCTGAGCTCTAGGCATAGCTGAATAGGTTTCTCCTGGCTGCTGCTGGTGATGGTGGTGGTGGTGTTGCTGCTGCTGCTGCTGCTGCTGACTCAGGCCCGGCTGGGTCAGGCGGTAATGATCTCCCTGATGAGCCTGATTAGGAAGGAAATGTTGCTGCGGCCTAGGTAGGTGAGCTGAGTGGTCTCCTTGGTTTAGGACCAATGGGTGTTGGGCAGGAGATAATCTAGTGGATGGTGGAGATTGCAGCAAGGGCAAGGAACCCCCAGATGTGAGGGAAGAAGTAGGACTGTGAGGCTGAGAGGTCCTGGCTGACAACGGCAGTGAGAGGTCCTGTGTTGGCCTGTAAAACACGGAGGGCATGCCAATATTAAGCTCTCTCTGAAGGCACTGGGGCAGAAAGAAGGGCACAAAAAATGAGATGGGGAGGCTTCCAGTGCCCCCAGGACACCTCCAACATGAGTAGCAGGCAGTGTTAGGGATCTCTGCAAAGACCCCTACTGTCCTTTCCAAGCCTGACCTTCCGTGATTGGCTGACAGACAGAGATGTGATCCCATGGAGGATTGAACCAGATGATCTCAAACTCCGCTTTGTGAAAATCAAAATTATGTATGCTTGTACAGTCAGTGCTCAAGTTAAAGCATATTAAATAAGTCTTCTGCAAGGTAATTTCCACCTTCCACCTCATTATTTTAATCTAAACTTTTTCTGACATTCTATGTATGGTCTGGCACACATAAAGAGTCAAATTTAGAAAATATGTCCCTCTTGCCCAGAAGGAAACAGCAAACAACAGTCAAAACCACCTCTCATGTAACAACCTAAGTGTCCATCAACAGATGAATGGATAAAGAAACACTGGTACATATATACAATGGAATATTACTCAGCCATAAAAAAGAATAAAACCTTGCCATCTGCAACAACCTGGATGGACTTAAGAGGATATTGTGCTGAATGGAGTAAGTCAGACAGAGAAAAACAAATGATATATGATTTCACTTACATGTGAAATCTAAAAAAAAATAAACGAACAAACAAAACAGAAAGAAACTCTTAGATACAGAGAACATTTTGATGATTTCCAGCTGGGAGGGAAGTTGGGGGCAGGCTGAAAAAAGGGAAGGACTTAAGAAGTACAAATTGGTAGTTACAAAATAGTCATGGGGATGGATACATTAGAAATACAGTCAACAATACTGTAATAACTATGTATGGTGTTAGATGGGTATTAGATTTATCGGGGTGATCACTTCATAAGTTTTATAAATAACGAATCACTATGTTGTACACCTAAAATTAATATAATATTGTATGTCAACTATAACTGAAATATTAAAAATATATTTTAAAACACCCCTTATTTTGCTCTCTGCACCTGTTTTGATAATACATATATACACAAAAAATTACTTGAGAATATGTACATCCTTATTACATTAGAGATACCAAACAATTATTGATATTAATAATTGACTGATGCCTATTAGCAGTAATAATATCATGACTTGGAGGGAATTACAGGCAACACTATCATACTATATTTGATTTTTTGCATCACAAAATGTAAGAACTGGAAAGGCCTTAAAGAAATCATTTAGTCCAACTCTGTGATTGGACAGGTGGAAACTGAGGTCCAGAGAGGGGAAGCAATCTGCCAAACATTACACAGTGAGTTACTGGTAGTGCCATGGTTGAACCCTTGTTTCCCAATTCTCATTTTCAGGCTCTATCCACTACCATAATACACTGATTTCCATGAACTAATATTCAGATTCCTACACTATTGTTTATAGAAAGTTCCAGAAAGATAACTTTGATACATTATTTAATATGGCTCTCCCATTTTTGCACTATTAGCCATTAAAAGAAACAGTATGTGAATCAATCACTTCCACCAGCATCAATATCAGGAAGAATATGTCAATATACACTAAAGACAAAAAGCTTATTCACACCCCCCAGCCCATGCCCAACTAACCTTTTATACTCCCACATCCTATGGATGCTTGTCCTACAGTTGATATTTCTCAATCCAGGGAAGACAGATGGCTAAGAGCATAGGATTTGGATCCCAACAGAGTTCGGAAACTTTTCTACTGCTTACTAGCTGTGTAACCTTGCTCAAGTTACTTAATCTGCATGAATCTGTTTTGTTCCTGAGGTTGCAAATGAATTATACAAATACTGGGCTCTTCTCATTTTTTTAGCTCAATAGGAATTCAGTCTCTTATGTACCTCCCAGTGAGATAGGTTCACCTGGTTAGTGATTTTGCTTATGGGATATCCATTTAATCTTTGCACTAAATTGCATAAAATTCATGGTAGAATGGGGACAAATCACCAGGAGCAATTCACTTTTAACTGGCATTCCAGATGCTGTAAAGCACATCCCTCCCACACACACACTCCAATTATCATTATTGTTAATGTATCTACCCCTACAATAGATTTTCACTATCAGAGCTTTCTACAGCTACAAAAATAATTCCAGGGCCGGCTGAGTGGCTCAGTTCGTTAAGAGTTGGCTTAAGAGCATGAGCTCTGAGCAACAGGGCCACCAGTTCGATTCCCACAAGGGTCAGTGATGCTGTGCTCGAGCTGAGCTATCTCTGAGCTGCCAACAGGTGGCAGGATGGCTCAGCTGGTGTAACAACAAGATTGCCTGTTCAATGGTGGGCTACGGCCACCCACAACTAAGACTGAACTTGGCACCTTGAGCTGGGCTGCCGCTCGGATGGCTCAGTGGATACAGCATGTGCTCTTAACAACAATGCTGCTGGGTTCAACTCCCGCACGGGATGACGGCTATGTCCACCCGCAACTAAGATTGAACTCGGCCCCTTAAGCTGAGATGCCACCTGGATGGCTCAGTGGATAGAGCATGTGCTCTTAACAAGGCTGCTGGGTTCGACTCCCCCATGGGATGGTGCCTGCACCCACCGCAACTAAGATTGAACACAGCACCTTGAGCTTAGAGGCCACGAGCTGCCAACAGGCAGCCACATGGCGACTGACGCCCTCCAGAACAAAGACTGAAGAACAACAACTTGGCTGGTCCCCTTCACCAATTCTCTAACACTGTTCCTTGCCCCCAATTCCCCAATAAAAATCTTTACAAAAATAAAAAAATAAAAATAATTCCAAATACTTCCTCATAGATACCGAATTGCCAAGATGTTCAACAAAGCCCTCAAACCTGCTCAAACCCTAGGTTCTGTCTCTTGGCCACATCAATGCCTCTGATGTACCCACATTCTTCCAGTTTCATACATATGTCATTAAAATAATTGCTGAATATTAAAGAAAGCAAGTGAACTATTTGAGGTTAGAGGAATTTACATGGATCTCATGCTTACAACTGAAAAGTTGCTACCATACATAAATTTTCTTTCCAAGAACTCAAAGCATTCATACAATCAAAAGCCTGGGAGCTGTTTATAAACTTATTTGGGGAAGAGTCTTTCTCCATTTTCCATACTGTGAATATTCAGTTTCCTCAGAGATAAAATGGACTGTGTGCTCTCCTTCCTCTCTGAGTAAAAGCTATTATGATAGATAGATAAATAGATAGATATAGCTACCTAGGGAGAGATATAGATATTAATATAATTTATAACATATAGTATATATTATAATAATATAATAATACAATGTATATTATAATGTATATTATATATAGTATACATTATATTATATATGCTATATATAACACATTTATATTAATATCTAAATCTATCCCTAGATATCTATATTTATATCATCTATATCTATATCATCTATATCTATAGCTACATCATCTATTATCTATCTCTATCTATACCCCTGGAGTCAAATATAATGTCCTGGAATTTGAAGGGACTTTTGGATATCGTGGGCAGAAAAGAGGGGCTTACATTTCATGTTCTTCAATCCAGCTCTCAAATTTTAAGGGAAAAACAACCATATTAACCTTCATCCTCATTGCCAGGATTTGGAAACCCAAGGCCTGGGAGTTGTTCTCTTTTAAAGACTGAATGCCCAGTTAAGAACTGGGCTTCTTTGCCCCACCTCCCCAAGTCCCCAACAGCAGCCCAGGACTTTCAAACAGACCTGACACTGGCCTCCTTCCTGCTTAAAGGCCTAAAGCCTCCCTGCTCCGTGCCCTGGACAAGCACATGGAGAAGAAGGAGACCACAAGGTCTCTGGAAAGAGGTCTCTGGAGTCAGATAAGCCCAGGATTGCAGCGGCCCTGGCCATAACTCTGGCTCTGCATATAGATAAGTGGAAACAAGGCAGCTGCCCCTCGGGTTCCCCAGGCTGGAAAAGGAAACAGATTTCAGTGCATCGTGATGTTGGGAAAACCAAGGCAGTCTGTCCCTGGCAGGTTTGCAAACACGAAGCAAGGCTTGGGCAGTTGCAAAGGGAGAGAAAGCCCTCCAGCCAAGGAACTCCATCTGGGCTCCAGCATTCGCCCACCACTAAACAAAAGCAGGTCAGTATTAACACTCTTGGGAAGATCCCCCTGAGCAGAGGGGACTGAGGAATGACAGGGGTGCCAGAGAGCTAAAGGGATGTCAGAGGAAGCAAAACTACACTCAAGATTAAATAATAATAACAGTGAGAGTAATAATAAAGGTGGCGGCTGCGTGAGCGGCACACTCCCCAGGTCCTTATACAGCACAGCAGCATGAATCTCTCCTCACTGACACATTAACCAGGAACAGGCGGCCAGCAGACAATAGAATCACATGATCTAATGGAAGCCCTGACCTGCCTCCCTGCCCCTTCCCTCTCTTCATCCTGCCCCTTCCTAAAACAATCTGGGTCCCTGGTGATCTGCAGAAAGGAGGACATGGCATACAGGCAGGACAGAGACCAATGACTAAAATCAGCATACCTCCAAAGCTGGGGGAACTCCCTCCCAGAGAGAGTTTGCAAAGATGCAAAGGGAAAGCAAAAGCAAAGCCTGTTTATCTAGTTGACATAGTGCCTCCCACCCTGCCACCTCACTGACTGGGAGCCCCTGCCCTCCCCAGCCACACACACCCCCACACACACACACAGATACTACACACTCCCAGCCCACACATGTAGAGGCCCACACACTCACACTCTCACCAGAGCAGGTGCCACCAATAGTCTGGAACTCAATTTATTCTCCCCACAGAAACTGTGACTTTCCCAGGCTCTGTCAGGGTGAATATGTGAATCCTGGAGAGGGCTGCAAATTCCGGATTGTTTCTCTTGCACAATCAGCTCTGTTCTGAACTACAAAGTTAGGTCACCCTTAGATTCCACTCAACAAGGATTTCAAGAAACCTTAGATCTGGGCATGATTTCAACAATTGAAAGGAGGTGGCTGCTTTACAAACAGAAAGGATTTAATTTTTAAAAGCAGTTGATAAATGTATAAACCCCAGATGCAGAAAAGGCTCAGCACTTAAAAAGACAAAGATTCAGAAAATTTTTAATTCTGCACATGGCTGGGCCTTGTTTCCCATCTGGAGTTCTGGGCATTCAGGATATTTATTTTTTAACTGGGGAGGAGGGCATAGAGAAGATGTAGTAATAAAAATATTGTTTATAACATTTTGTTCATTTTAACAGCAAATGTCCAGCATTTCACTGCACCTCTAAAGGCAAATTGCTGTTTTATGAGTAGCAATTTGTTCAAAGAGCTTGTTTTGTATCCTGATCTGTAATTTGTGGATTAAGAACTAAGAATTTCGTCTTCTAATTATTTGGTGCTAGCAGCAGTTACTTGGAAAGGTACTCACAAACTGTCTAGCGACTTGTTTAAAGGCAGCTAGTAGGACAAATGTGTCACCACCTAAAAGCGTACACTCCTGGGAAGCAGTTCAACTACTTTCCCTTGCCAGTAATTTGTCAATAGGTGCCACTCCCTCACCCAATGCCTGGCAAACATTTTATTGCCAGAATTTGTCTGATGCAGACCCAAACGTCACATAGAACATCTTCCGATTAGGAACGTTTTAAGTTTGATTATTCATCGAGCATAACAAGCACCTGTTCCTCTCCCATAGAGAAAAAAAAACTGTTAGGGCAAACCTGTATATTAAAATGCTGCTCAAGAGAGATGGTAATCAGCATGGGCTCTATTGCTTTAGGGGATAGGAAAACAGATCCACAGATAATGTAGGAGGGAGGAGAAAATACGCATATCTTCCTGTAAAATGTATGCAGCTAAATTTCTTGGGTGGTTTAATCAGTATGGGAAGAAAAAAAAATCCCTCTTTGGGTTCCTTATTATTTATTTAAGCAGACCAAAGAGCTTTTTCATCTAGCTTCAAACACTGTGGGAGTCATTTCAGATCACAAACAATACTGGTGAATGAATTCTGAAAACAGCTTTCCTGGGAAGGTGAGCCATGTGCTGAGCGGGGCTTTGGATTCTGCTCCACACTCCAGCCAGCATACTCCCCTCCCACAAGGTAACAAACGTCAGCCCATCCACATACAGGAGACAGTCCCACCGACTCTTCCATGCTGATGGGAAGAACAAAACAAAACAAAAAAAACCCCAGCTTCATTGACATTTTGCTGGCTTGGACACATTTCTACTAAGCTAAGCAATCCAACAGGCCAACCCTTCCCTTGGTCTTCCGTTTCATTGGGCAGATGGGAATTGGATTCTTATTCTCATTTAAACTGGAAGGGCCCTATCTGTTACCCAATTTCCTGTTCCAAGCCACTTATCAGAACTTAGGCTCCTGACCTTTGAAAGCTGCATAGAAGAGGTTGAAAAAAAGGTTAGGAAATCAACCTGGGTTAAGGAAAAACAAAATTCTAAACTGGCCAAGTTAGGGGTGGAGTCCAAAGTGAATTGCCTCTGGCTAAAAAATGGACCTAGAAGGGGAGAAAAATGAAATACCAGGGAATGCCAGGTTCATTCTCCTACCTTACCTCAACTCCACCCCCTGACTGCTTTGCCTCCTGAGTCACCCTATGAACTTCAAGTCAAGAGGTTCTTTCCCAAAGGAGTGAAAAGGGGACAGGAGGCAGTGTTATGTGTCAAACAGATTGCAGGCCTAGTCTGGGGGTCCCTATGGAAAAGGCCACCCTAGGCCCAGGGAACTTCAAACTTCATGGCCACCTATTAGCTGCGGCAATGGCAGGAACACCACATAACTTCCATCACTGTTGCCCATGGTTGAAATGTTCCGTTCCCCCTGCCCCATATGCTGAGATACTAGTAACGATCAGAGACATCGTCCCTATAGGAACAAAAAATAGAGTCATGGAATCATAAGGTCTGGTTGATACAGTGGGCCCTTGAATAATTCAGAAGTATATTTAGGAAGAAATCAATATAAGAAGCAGTCCTCCTGAACTAACAGCAAGTGGTACATTAGTCATGGATATATTTTTTCCTTCTACAATTTAGGATCTGACCAAAATTTCTATATAATATGATATGAATTTCATTTAGATGTTTAAAAACATGACAGGCAACTAACAAAATCTCTACAGAAGATAGATGAAGCAATCCAGACTTCATAAACTGCAAGGAAGTATAAGACAAGTTATATTCTGAACCTACACATATACAGTTCCCCCACACACAGTAATATCTGGGTGTTTCTTTAGTGTCCGCAAGAATCATGGTAATTCTGCAGAAAGATGTGTTCACAAAAATATGTGATGAGAGTTTTGTGGAGGGAAATAAGTAGAAGTGACAGGATATTCCAGATTAATTAAAGTCCAAGATAATTTGCTTCTGCTCCTCAAGGAAGGGCTTAATAACTCAAAAGATGAGGAACACTGACCCTTTAGTATCCTTGGAGACAGGACAGCAAATAGCTGCTGAAATCAAGACTTGTGCTCCTGGGCCGGCCGAGTGGCACGTTGGTTATGAGCTGGCTTGGGACGCTGGCTATGAGCATCAGGGCCCTGGTTCGGATCCCACATATGAAGGCCAGTGACACTGCCCTCTACAGCTATGATGCTGAACAACAGCTCGACCTGGAGCTGGGCTGCCGTGAGTCGCCGGCGACAGCGTAGGCTGCAGTCCCTGCTGCAGTGGGCTGCCATAAACTACTGTGTGTGGCCTACAGCCAGTGTGAGCGGCCAGCAGCCGGCGTGAGCTGCCAAGAGCCGCCGTGAGCGTCAGTCCAGAGGCCGGCGACTAATCTGCCTCACCCAGGAAGAGCGCAATGATGATACCAACGTGGGCCAGTGAAGCGACATCCTCCACAACTAGACTGAAGAACAAAAGGACAGCAACGTGTCTGTTCCCCTTCCCCCAGTTCCCCAGCGCTGTTCCCCTCCCAAAATTCCCCAATAAAATATTAAAAAAAAAAAAGACTTGTGCTCCTGTTTATCCACTAGGTAGTTGAGGCCATGCTCAACCTAGAAAGTTAAAGGAATGTTAATACAGTGTTAATTATGGCTAGAAATTCAGGTTGGCAGAAAATTTACTAAGTCAGAGGCCAGCCATGCATTGCAGAGTCTGTTGTAACAAACGCCTGCCCATGCTTCCCTTAAAACTCCCCACACACAGCAGAAGCTGGCTGGGGAGGAGGTCGGGAAATCACAGAAAGGGAGCTCTCTTACCTGGCTGCGCCATACTCAGGGGGGTGCTGATACCTCATCAGTTGCCCCTCTGTTCTCCCTGGCTGGTTCACACGATGCTCACTATAGAAGTGCCCTGGCTCTTGGGACTTGCACACTACAGCCTGGGGTGGCATGCCCTTGAAGGGATACTCTGGTGGGGGGCCTCGGTGTTCCATGCCCTTCAGGCTATGCTGGCTGGGAGGTGGTCCTTGGGCCTTGTAGAATTCACTGGAACTCGTGGGATTCTTGTAGATGTCATTGGCTTGTGGTGGGGAGAGGGGAGCGCTGGTAACAGGTGGATGGGCCTTAACTCCACTGGTGGCCAGTGACATCTGCATTAGTCGTTCACTCAAAGAGCGGACATGTCCTTGCTTAAGGTCTCTGAGTCCCTCATCCTGGTGCATCTTCCCAGGATTAAGTCGCTGCACTGATGGGCGTCCCTCAGTCCTCATCTTCTGGTTGGTGACTCCAGTGACATAGAAGGCAGCTCCAACACTGGCATGCTGTTGGCCCCGAAAGTACTGGGACTGAACTTTGGCTTCCTCATAGGTCGGGAGTTCTTCGTTATTCTGCATTCGCGGGGAAAGCTGCTTCTCCATAATGATGTTTTCTGACTGAATTTCCTGCCCCTGCGGTTCCTGTCGAGCAGCATGTGCCACAAGCTGCTGGTGGTGGTCTTGGGGACTCAGCACATCATTCTGAGGACCTGGGTTCCCACTGCCACTGGGGAAAGGAGGGCCATTCCCTGTGGCTTGTTGGTGTATGGCAAGCAGGTTGCGATTGTCATTAGGATTGCCATAGCGAAGCTGCTCCTGTAGCAGACGCTGTAATACCGTGGTTCCTCCACCTGGCTGTTCTTCAGCGTTTCTCATCTCTATTGCCGGTGGTGCCTTGTGAAGAGAGAGAGAAATTGGGCACCTGGGCTGCCCTTGACCTAGGAAGGGGAAACAGGAAGCTTAACACCCAGTGGATGGATACATCATTCCTCTAAAGGGGAAGAAAATAGGTATTTGGGGGTGAGGACTCCATTGCAGAGACAGAGTAGATAATCAAATCCAGAATTAATCAATTAATTGTTGGCGACTCCTGGCTCTAGCATTGATAAGATGAGGAATTTGGAGGCATAAGAGCTCTCTATTTTCTCTTTCATTTTTAGTATGGCTTAAATATTCAATCTTGACTTAACTCCTAAGAGGACTGGGCTAACCTGGAGCAGTCAAGTAAGGTGATCAGAGTAGGACAATTTTCCTAGGCCCTTACTCACAAAGTTCATCTCTCCATATTCTATTTAAATGAAAAATCCAACTCTTATGGCTGTGGGAGTGTGGGCAGGTCAGTGGGGAGTCGTGTCCCCACAGGCAGGATCTGTAAAGCAGTTCAGCATGTGAAGAATGATACAAAATGCCAAATAAGTAAAATAAATAAAAAGTGAAGAGAGCTTGGCTTGCACCAGATAAAAATGACCCCAGCTGATGCAAATCATTTTCTCTGAAACCTATCTTTTTAAAAAAAAAAATAAATCCTTTTTGTATTGTCCATTTTGGATGCTCCTTGGCTTAGTAAGAGAAGTGCTTGGGATAATTGTTATTGACAGTTTCTCTTTCAGCTATCCAGGAATTGTTCTTGAGATTTTGTTGTTGTTGTTGGGTAGGAGATGCTTAAAGGGGAAACCCTCTTTCATTTGAAGGGTGCCTCTGACAGCATTTAGAATTTGAAAAATAAAAAGGTCATCTTTCTAGAAAGGTTATGATTAAAATATCCCACCGGGACCACCACCAGCACCCACCAGCCCCACCACCACAACCACCACGAATTCTTAAGTAAGTAATGTGGATTGAGTGAAACAGATATCAGTAGTAAGACAACGCAAGATTCAAATATAAGCACCTCATGGGTTTAAAGGGTAACTTAAGCAATTGATTCTCCTTTTCTTGTCTTCTGTTCCCCCACCTAAAAAACAGTAGTAGGTGACCTCCCTTGATCTCCCTTCCTCTCCCTTCCCCTCCCTCCCCTTTCCCTTCCCCCTTCCCCTTCCCTTCCCTTCCTTCTCTCCATGGTATGCTACACACAGACTCATGAGAAAGCTCAAGAAATCTTTGGACAGAATCTGTCATGTTAAGAACTGCAATTCAGGATGTGAACGCAATCTGGCTTTGACATCTGTCACCCCACTGATTGCCAGGGTTGATTTGGCTGATCTGGCTGGCAAGGCGGGTGTCCCCTTCCTCCCTCACCGCTCCATGTGCATCCCTCCTGAAGCTGTCCACTTGGTTGAAGAGGACGACCTTCCCCCCATAGAGGAGAGGACCGTTCTTCAGTCAAGGGTATACGAGTAGCTGCACTCCCCCTCTAGAATCTCTAAACAAGATCTCAAGAACTGCAATTCAATATCAATGTTCAACAATGAAACGTTCACTCTAAGGATCTTAAGTAGTGTTGGAGAATGGGCATGATGGCACACAAAAAGGCACAATAAAGGTCAACCTAACCAGCCTCAGGTTCCTAGCTGAGGAATACTGGCTACCAGGCCAATTTCTACATTAAATAGCCTCCACACTCTCTGGCAACATGTCGCTCACTCCTTTAGTTTTTCAGGGGGTGATCCAGAAAATGTGTATAGTAGATGGAGAAAGGTCATCTTCTCTCCTTTCGCACTTCTTACATGATTACTGCTACCTGGTTTCCAGTTATTGTATAGAGCAGTTGAACCTCACAGTTAACCTTCCAAAGGCCCCTTTTAAGGCCCATTCGCCATATTCTTTAGGGAAGCGCACACCAAGGGGCTGAAGAACCTGCCCTCTAGTCCCCTTTCCCTCCCTCCCAGTGGGACTCTTGTATTTAAACTGTCAGATTGGGATTTTCTGATAGGCTGACATATAAATCTCTTTTGGTGCCCAAAACTGTAAGAAGATTATCAAACTACTTTTCTCAAAAAATGGAAAAGCAAGCATGTATGGTTACAACGAAATCACTTATAAACCCCTTCTGCAAGGCAGGGAAATCCAGACATTGAGCGGCCCCAGACACTGAAGAGTACACCACCCCTTCCCATTCCACACCCGCCATACCCTGCACACACACAGGCTCACACGCACACACACCAGTAGTCCATACCTATTTCTGCTTTCTTTTAGGCTTAAAGCCTTGATCAGGATAGGGAATTCTTGCTTATGAGCAGCTCCAGAAACCGCAACGGCAGATTCCCTCTCCCCTAACACTCAGGTTCAGGGTAAGCGCCGCCAAGAGTCCAACCACTGGTCACTCTGAAATGTTCAGGAGGGGGAGGGAGGGAGAAATAAAAATGTCGTTTCTATTTTGCCACCAATGGCCAACAGTTAACCAAACCAGTCCTTCCAAAGGAATGACTTGTTCTCCCATGTGCTTGCCCTTTATATGACTGACAGAGTCCTTTTACACCAGGACAAAAAAAAACCCTCTCTTTCCACCAGTGTGTTCAGGAGGTCAGCCAGTCTCCAGGGGATAGAAATGTTCAGGTCTGAGGCTGGAAACAATTGCTCTGTTCTAGCTTCACAGCCCCCAAAAGTCACTGTTTCCACTCTGAATTAGAATGGTGGGTGATGACAAAAGCCATAACCACTGTCACCTGTAGGATGCACCTTTAATCTGTTATCTGTAGCAGAGAAGGTGAAACAGGCTCACTGGCCCACATCCCAGAAGGAAAGGCAGTCATGAGAAGGTAGGTTTTTGGTCAAAGACAGAATGCTCAGTGAAGCTCCCAATTTAACTGCCACAGTCTCTGATGGGCAGAAGAACACCCAAACTCCTTTTTAATCAAGTCATTAAGTGTCTATTGCATACTGGCTATTCTAGACAATTGCCTGCCTCATGCGGAACACAGTGAGGGATACAAAAGACACACAACATATAGTTCCTGACCTCACAGAGCTTACAATCTGATCAACAGCCCATCCATTCTAACTGGAGTAGCAAAGCAATTGCCCTTATCAACGTACAGCAGCAACCCTTCTTATTCAAGGAGAAGATGCTTCCACTTGCTTTTTCAGCACTTCCACTGCCCCAGTTTGTCCGCAAAAGGAAAAGACTAGGCTCACACTATAGAGGCTAGATGCAAACACCCACCAGATATGGATTTGAAATAGTCCTCATTTCTAATTACTGCTTTAAAAAAGCCTGCAGTTCTAACCAAAATGGTAATCAAACTGAGGAGTTTGTGTTTAGATGAGATGCACATGATCCACATCCCTATTTTCCATCCCGGCTGAGCCATGACTCACTCATATGACTTAAAGGAAAGGCTTTAATCTTCACCAGACACACCATTTGAAGAGCAAGGCAATGCAAAGGAAGCAAACAAGTGTCTTTGTATTTTGGGAGCATGTCCAAAACATCCAAGTTAAAAAAAAAAATCCACAGGGCTGGCCAAGTGGCTCAGTTAGTAAAGAGTTAGCTTAAGAATGCGAGCTCTGAGCACCAGGGCCGCTGGTTCAATTCCCACAGGGGCCAGTGACGCTGCACCCCAGCTGAGCTGCCGCTGAGCTGCCAACAGGGGGCAGAATGGCTCAGCTGGTGAGAGCACATGCTCCTAACAAAAAGACTGCCTGTTCGATGGTGGGCTACGCCCGCCCGCAACTAAGACTAAACTTGGCACCTTGAGCTGAGCTGCCACCCAGATGGCTCAGTGGATAGAGCGTGCGCTCTTCACAACAAGGCTGCTGGTTCAACTCTTGCATGGGATGGTGGCTGCGCCCACAGCACCTTGAGCTTAGAGGCCACAAGCTGCCAACAGGCAGCCAGATGGAGACTGGCGCCCTCCACAAAAAAGACTGAAGAACAACAACTTGGCTGGTCCCCGTCCCCAATTCCACAACACTGTTCCCCTCCCCCAATTCCCCCCAATTAAAAAAAATCCACAAAACCACACAGTGATTACTTTAGCATTATTTCCTTGCAATGTTGCCAACAACAACAACAACAAAAAGTGAGGGCTGGCCAAGGGGCATGTTGTTTAAGAGTTGGCTTGGGACGCCAGCTCTGAGCAGCAGGGCCCCGGTTCGGATCCCACATGAGGGCCAGTGATGCTGCGCCCTCTACACTAAGATGGTGAACAACAGCTCGACCTGGAGCTGGGCTGCCGTGAGTCGCCGGCGACAGTGTAGGCTGCAGCCCCTGCTGCAGTGGGCTGCCATAAGCTACCGTGAGCGGCCGGCAGCCGGAGTGAGCTGCCTAGAGCTGCCATAAGCGGCCATTCAGTGACCGGCAACCAATCTGCCTCACACGGGAAGAACGCAATGATAATACCAACATGGGCCAGTGAAACAATGTCCTCCACAACTAACTAAAGAACAAAAGGACAGCAACTTGTCTGTTTCCCTTCACCGATTCCCCAACGCTGTTCCCCTTCTCCAATTTCCCAATAAAATCTTAAAAAAAAAAAGTGAACAGATATAGGGTGAACAAATGTGGAAATTTGTCTTTCCATCTTGTTTTGGCCCAACGTGCAATCACAATCAAAAGCAGAATCCAATGTGCAAGGTAATTATTTTGGGGCGTCTCCCCTAATTTCAAAGAGAGGAACAACTTCTAATTGGAATCAAAGCTGGAGTGTTAACAGTATTATGGTAAATAACCACCGTGCTTCTATTGTTCAATTCTGAACAAAATATTTGTCTTATTTTTTCAACTGAAACACAGAGAAAACTGCCAAAGGATTTTAAAATTGCGCTACTAGAGAGAAACCACCATATAGTTCTTTGCTGGTATTATTTAGATTCTTCATGCCAATCTTGACTGGCTTGTTCCTGACACGCAGCTCCTCACCAAAAAAAAAACAACAACTTTGTTTAAAGTCTTACTCTCTTCCCTTAATTTTGTCATCTCTCCTCCACATCCTTTTCAAAACCCAAATCATTTTATGTCAACTGAATCTAGATTGTCCCTCCCTAGTATCCCACTCCCTGGCCTTTTTTTTTTTTGGTTTCTGTTTAAAAAAGGAAAATAAATCAGCTTAAGAAAAAAAGCTTTGTTTATTTCTCTCCAGTTTTCTGATTTTTTTCTTGAAGAACTTATGTTCATCTACATGTTAAGAGTCACATAAAAAGGAAAACACTACTCCATTTATTTATTAGAGAAAAGAAAGGAAAACATCCTTGTCTCATGTGCAAGTACTAAAATAGTATGAACTCTGCAACCTTTAATCTGCCCACAGCTTTAATTACACCACTGCCAGAGGTCTGACATCATCTTCAATCAATAAAACAACCTTGTTTCTCCTGGACAAACAGACTGTCCCTGAGGATATTTGAAAAGGGGAAAAAAGGACATCCGTGGTTCTCTCTTTAAAAACACAATTTGGATCTATATATTAACTCTTCTGTAATTACAACAGGGCAGCAGAGCCAAGCCAAACTCTTACTCCATTTGCAGTCATTGGCTCTCCCAGTATACCTGAAAGGTTGCGCCAAAACACATTAGTGAGAGCCCAGATGTTTCCCAGGCCAAGTCCCATAAAATCAACATTACAAGGTAGCCAGAGCAGAGCAAATTTCTACCCTTCAAATAAATTTTGAAACATGCCTATATAACATCTTTCTATCCCTTCTATCTCTGCCTTCCTATTTTGCCCCCACCCCTCACTCCACCAACCAGGGTGAAGAATCTAAGTCTAGAAAATGTTTCTCTGCTAAATCTTGTTCAACTTGTTTCATATAATTTTACTTCTAGCTAAATGGAAAGGAGCCAGTTCAAAGTTTTCCCTATATCTATGTGCATGTATTTGTGCATTACACACACACACACACACACACACACCCTCCCAAAGAGAGAGGCAAAAGAGCCCACTGCATTCTCTCATGTCCTCTTAGGTTGGCCCATACTGTGGCCTTAAATGTCCTAGGGAACACCTTTCCCAATGGTCTTGCTATCCTGGATACTAATTCCCTTCCTTTGGGGGATAAGAAACAATGGTCCCACTGCAGGTGACCCCAAAACTTTCAGTGGGTAATGGGACAAGCAGTACAAACACCATGGTTAAGAGCCTGGGCCTAGAGTTACTCTGTCCAAGTTCAAATCTTGGATCTATGGCTTACTAACTGACCTCAAACATGTCTCTTGACATCCCCAAGTCTCAATGTCATCATCTGCAAAATAAGGATAATGGTGCCCATACCTCATAGGGTCGTTATAAAAATGAAGGAAGTTAATCCATGTACAGTATAAGTACAGAGCCTGAAACATAGTAAAGGCTAAATAAAAGTTAGCTTTTATTATTATTTCAAAGTGGCCTTTTTCTAGAAGGCTGCAGCAATTTTATGAAGTAAAGTTGTTTTTGTAAAACCTTTTTTGCAACTCAGTCTTTTGTGCAGGGGTCCTTCAATCAGCAAAGGTGAGAACTCAACTCTTGGGAGTCTAGTGATCCAAGCCCCTCTTTTCATAGATGAAGATGCCAGAATTTAAAAGGGGTAAGAGCCAGGACCAGAACGCAGGTTTTATTACTCCTAGGGCAATAGTCTTTCCACGACAATATATCATCTAGCATAATAGCTTGTACATAGAATATGATTGATAAATATTTATTAAATTGAATTGACTCTGATTTTTAAGAAACTGTAAACCTGGCTTAAGGGTACCACCAATTTTTCAATTCCATTGAAATTAAAATAATAATGGCAGAGGGGGAAATCCAAAGAGGTAAGGGGGATGTGTTTAATTAGAAATATAGCAGAAGGACCTCACAAAATCTCTCCTCTTTAAGCCAAGATATGCAGACAGGTCTGAGAGTAACATGAGTGTCCACCTATCAATGTTTCCAGGCCCGTTCTAGGTTTTGTGAACATCATAACAACTTGGCACTTACTCTTATTTAAGTCTAGCACTAGCTTAAAAAACGGCTTTGAGTCGGCCCCACCTCTTTGCTCCTATCATAACCTCTATCTAGATTAGGTTGGAAAATTATTTTAAGACCCACAGTAAGGCCTTGGCATTTCCAAATCTTACTGACACAGGATCAGTGTCAGTTATCTGTTTCGGAGATAGCAACTCAAAGGCACAATCAGTTTGATCCCAGTTTTACTTTTCTGTACTTTAAAGCAATTAAGTTGAACATGTTAACCTGCAACAAAAGTGATTAACTCTAAAATGTATATGATGGGGCTGGCCAAGTGGCTCAGTTGGTTAAGAGTGCAAGCTCTGAGCAACAGGGTCGCTGGTTTGACTCCCACATGGGGCAGTGAGCTGTGCCCAAGCTGAGCTGCTGCTGAGCTGCCAACAGGTGGCAGGATGGCTCAGCTGGTGAGAGCACGTGCTCCTAACAACAAGGTTTCCTGTTCGACTCCCACATGGGATGGTGGGCTACACCCACCTGCAACTAAGATTTAACATGGCACCTTGAGCTGAGTGGCCGCAAGCTGCCGATGGTCAGCTGGATGGCGACTGGACTTGAAGCTAGCTGCGCCCTCCACAACTAAGACTGAAGGACAACAACTTAGCTGTTCCCCTTCCCCAATTCCCCCAATAAAATCTTTAAAAAAATAAATAAATAAAATATAAAATAAAATATACAAGAGCAGAGAAATATTGGGTAATAATAAAAATCCTGTTGCCACCACCCTTCCACCTCCCTCCACACACACCCATTCCAAGGGCAGAATAAATAGATCATGCAATCACATACCATTTTTTTCTTGCCTCAGAAAAAGTATAGGCAGTTAATAAAATCAGATTGAGCATAAACTGAGAAAAGTTTATGAATATACATAGAAGCTGCCTGCTTTATCAATATCCTATCTTCAGTGGCATACTACCCACTTTCATTTTTCTTTTTACTTTATTCTACAAGTAATAAAAGCACAACATGCAAATATTCATAATGAACAGAAAAAAATCACTCATAATTCCAGCACCTCAACCCAAACATTGTTAGCATTATAGAACATTTCCTTCAGTTTTTGCATTGTGTGTTTGTGTTTTTACAAAGCAATGAAATATGAATGCACATATACTTTTGGATCCTACATTTCACTTTATCACAAGCACTTTCTCGATGTTGTGGCATCGACTTCATAACAAACATTGCAATGGCTGTGTAATAGTCCATTAAATGAGTGTATCAAGATTTACTCACCCATTCTCCAATTATTAAGACATTTAAATTCCTTTCAATTTTGTTCTAGTCTAAATAATGTTATAAAAACAACTTTGTGATTTAGCCTTTTTCAATATTTTGGATTGTTCCCTAATGATAGAATCCCAGAAGTGAACTTAATGGGTCAAAGGAGCATGAAAGTTTTTAGACAACCCACTAAAAGAATAAAACTAGCAAAACATCGAAGCCCCGTGAAATCTCTCCTTCATTGAATGAAAAGTTGCCCTGCTCCCATTTTTCCACCAGCGCAGAGCAATACTCCTGGGAGGGAAAAAAGCCAAGAGAAGCACTGTAGTATCCCAATGACTTGCGAAATGGCAGAGTGGAATGTGGGCTCCCCTGTGAATCCAGCTTGCATGCACTTGCCCCAAATTGCCACCAGCCAAGAAGCTAATCAGTAAAAGCATCAGGTGGGTGAGAACAGGTTCATGGCCTGTAATGACTTATATCATGTTTCATCTTTGTCCTTGAAAAGATCTGACAGTCAGCTTGAAGACATTCAGCTCTAGTGACCCAACCTGCTACATTCTCAGGATTAAACTTGTTAGTTCTGATATCAATCTTCAATATATTTTAAAGGGTGTTTTGCTGTACAGAACTATGCATACATGACCAATGAGCCTGTGTGTTTATCTCTATTTTCAGCCACAGTTGAGGTGACACATTTAAGGTCAGCCCTGTTTAATATTACATGACTAAGTGGTACCTGTCTTAAATGGTAAATGTGTTATAGACAGAGGTTTATTTGCAGACCCCACCATAAAAGCCATCCAGTCCTAATGCAGGGGAGGCAACAAACCAGAGATGCCCCTGGCTTAGGAAGAGCAGATACAAGAGGCATTTCTTTCCTACACTGCTTAGTCAGAACTCTCAGAAGAGGGCAGTGCTTCCTACCTTCTCCTTGAAGGTTTTTCTCTAATCCTCCATCTTTCCCCTGCCCCCAACTCTGGTCAATATGGAAAATTAATTCTCTCTCCTCAGTGTTTCCACTGGACTTTGTACACATATCTATTAGAGCACTTATCACACCATATTTTCCACAAACATCTTTAAGCACTTAACTATAGCCAGACACTGTACAGGTCCTAGGGTGGATAAAAGAGAAAAACAGAATCCAGCCCTCAGGAGCTCCCATCAAGCAGAGGGGACACAATCCAACAGGAAACCAGAGTATGAGCACATAGCTCTTGCAACACAGGGGATTCTGCAAAATAACTCTGGGCCACCTGAGCAAAGCTTCCCAGAGGAAAAGACCTATGAGCTGAGTGGAAGATATGGAATCTGATAGCTAACTTGGTACTGGGGAAGTTGAAAAGGGAAGAGTCAAAAATAGGTTCAGTGGCCGGCCGAGTGGCTCAGTTGGTTAAGAGCTCACACAAGAGTGCGATCTCTGAGCAACAGCGGTTCGATGCCCGGCCCGAGCTGAGTTGCCGCTGAGCTGCCAACAGGTAGCAGGATGGCTCAGCTAAAAAAAAAAAAACTGGTTGAGATATATCTTTGGGAGTCATTAGCATATGGATAATAGCTAAGGACAACTAGGGGACTGGATCACATAGAGTAGGAGGAGAATGGAACCAAGGATGAAACTAAGGATTGGACCCTGAAAAAAGTGAGCAAGGGTCAGGTACTTTACAAATGTGGGAGTGAGAAAGAAATTCCTTTATTTACCCCATGGCTCCCCACCTTTCCCTGTATACCTTCAATCTAGACCTTGGAGTACACTGCTCCAGAGACAGAAGTTCCCAGTTAAAATGCAGACAGGAAAAAAGAAGTTAATTGTTGCCTTTTAAGCTTCTAAGTACCCAGGCAGAAATCCGTGTAATAGGTTGAGCTGAAAATGGAAGTTGCTAGAGTACAAGATCTTAGCGGGCATGGTCTGGGTGCAAGCTTTTCCTCTGTGTCATTTGCAAGATCTAAAACATTAATTGGTACATAAAATATGCTTAATAAGTACACACTGAGTAAATAACAATTTCCCAAAAACATTGCTAGAGGCCACAGAAAGAGAAGAAAAGAAATGAAAGAAGAGCAGTAACAATAATATTATTACCTTTAGTTTCTCAGCCTTTCTTCTAAGGAGACAAATGCTATTTCACTTCTGTTATCTTATTTGTCCTTCTCAGCAGCTCTGTGAGGAAATAAAGGGTGATGTGATTAATTCCATTTTAGAACTGCAGAAGATTAAGTCCAGAACAGATAGCTAATGATAACTAATTTGACCAAGGTTTCACTGTGTCTTACTGGGGGGGCCAGGATAAGATCCCAGGTCTTGTGACTTCCTGCCTTATGCTGGCTGACTAGACGCAAACCTCAACAGAACGGATTCGTTTTTGTTGTTGTTGTTGTTGGTTTTTTATTTTGTTTTGTTTTTATTAAACTTTATTGGCGTGACAATTGTTAGCAAAGTTACATGTTTCAGGTGTACAATCTGCAATACATCATCTGTATATCGTGTGTTCACCACCAAGTGACTTGTTTTTAAGAGGACAATTCACAAGAGAAATTCACTAGGAAAGCAGATTCCCTCAAGACTCCAACAGTATCGAGCAAGCCAATGCACTGCACCTGTAAGAAAATATCTAAGATGTTTTCCCTTACCAACACTGGAACGGCTAAACACAATTGGTAGTGGTGCTCCACTAACATAATTGGGAGTTCCCTATTTTTTTGTGCCCCTTTTGAAGGGCGCCCCATCTGTCTTCAGTCTGGCTTTTATGTCTGAATGGGGCTCAGGTGCTGACTGCAGGTGTGGCATCCAGCAGGTGCATGGACAGGATCCAGCGTTTCATATCTTCATACCAAAGGGCCTGAGTCACTCCCCAAAGTCAGCCCCACCTCCTCCTGCTGACCTGCAAGCCCCAAGAACCTGTCTTGACTGAGTTGCCATCGCAAAACTAAATCTAAACCCTGCCTTCCCCGGAAAGACTAGGGTGAAATCAGTTAAACTGCAAATCATATACCCCAGCCAACTTTCCTACTCTCCAAAACTAGTGCACACATATGCTACAGGCATAGTGTCAAGGAATATATGTACAGAATGACTGCCCCTTACTAGTTATGGGGCAAAGGAGGACCACAGCAGACCCATATTACATATTGGGTTGTCAGAAAAGTCATGACGCATTTTTGCAACAAAAAACAGAAAAAATGTGTCATGAGTTTTCCACAACCCAATACATATTACATTATTTAGTTACAGAGCACTTATTCTATTACAAATGGCCCTGAAACCTCAGGAGCAAGTATTCATTCTCCTAAAAACGGCGAGTACAGTAGAAAGAACGTCCTAGGAACCTTGCACTCCAGTTCCCATCATAAACACTCTTTTTCAGGCTGCCAAGGGAGAACTGCTTAGCCTAGTCACAAAATTACCAGGTCAGAAAAGTCATATTGCCTTAGTGTGTGCCTGAGGCAAGTAGAATGTTCTTGAGTGTAAAGGGAATCATCAAAATTTCTTAGCTCCAAAAATTATTTGCTTAAAAAAAACTGCCTTTCCCAAACACACACACACACACGCACATGCACACAGGCACACACCCAGCAAAGAGAAACTAATTTATTGTAAAAGAAAAAAACAAAAAGCAAATGTTACCTTAATAAAATCATTTATTGTCATTTGTTGTTTTTCTCCAATTCATATGGGAAACTCAAATTAATAAGCTTTGGTTTACAGCCCATAATCCAGAAAGTAAAACTGGCTACTAAACTAAAATGTGATCACTGTATATAAACAGAGTGAAACAAAAATCTGAACTGAAAACCAAAATGTAATAAAGAGGAAATTAGATTTCTTCAAAATAGGCAATCTAAATAATTTCCCCCGTCTGTGATTTTTATCTTAGTTTGCTATCACATGGAAAAAATGTCATTAATTCAATGCAAATCCATGTCCCTTGAAAACAACCCAAATGAGTAAGTGATGTACTAATTAACTTCCTAATGGGGAAGGTTTTAATTGAACTATTCTATAACAACCTTCATCAAAGTTTCCAGGGCAACTTCGTAAAAGGATGTCAAACCTGGCCCATATTTTTATCCCCTTAAAAATAATTCTCAATGCATAGGAACACAGAAAGCTTATTTCTTTTCAATGCTGTTAATGCTCAGGCCACTACATTTTCTGATGTCAGCAATCCCCTTCCCACAAATATTCCAAGAATGCACCACAGTCATTCTCCTTTCAATTATGTGGTTTCTCTGCTCCTTTACTGATTGAGTCCAGGCCTCTTGAATAATGAGAAGCATGTGCAGGGAAAATATGCTCTTAAAAAACACATACATCAGTTTCATCTGCATTATGAAGGCAGGAGAAATCATTTGTCCATATCAAAAAGATCAAAATGTAAAGTTTGCTATGGGTTATATAAAGGAAAGAAAAAAGATTAGTATCAATGCCCAAAGTTGGGAGGGGGTGGTTATTGCAAACTGAAGCAACACCAATAAGAACAAGGGAGACCCCCCCCCAAAAAAAAACACAACCTTTGCAGCTTGGCCACATTTATATTTAATGTTATATTAATGTTGCTTTGGGGGGTATTTAAGTCCTGACATACACATGGAAATGAGCCACGGGTTGTACTGCAAGCATAAATATTCCATCATTAATAAAAACCAGCTGTGTATAAAACACCACAATGGCTGGGTTTCAGTTACTGGCTATCATCAGTATGTGTCACAAGCAAATATACTCAAAACTTTCTCCCTTAGCACACTCACACACAAACACACACACACACACACACTCCCACAGAAATTTGCTTTACTCCTTTTTAATCTTCTGGAAGATCTTTGAAGAACTCACTGATCTCTATGGCACATTCCAACTAATGTCTCTTTTTGAAGCTATTTTTCATCACTCTGGAAGATGCTAGCGTCCTCTTACTAGAACTTCAGTTTACCACATAGAATGAAAACGTTTAATTTTTTTAAGAGCCAAGAGGGTCAACAATACAAATGTTGGTACAATCAATTATAGTCAGTAAGACAATGAAGCACCAAGGACACTGTATGTTATAAGAGTGCAATGCTTATTAAAAGTTAACACCTGCTCAGGACCCTATAATAAGCCTGCTCTGCCATCATGCAAACACCTTTCATCCAATGACCTCAAAGCATGTGCCCAATATGAAGCATGCCTAAACACCTCTGTGAAGTATTAATATCCTTGCTTCCCAGAAGAGTAACTGAAACTCAGAGCAGCTAATTCATTTACTCTTGGTTACATGGCAAGTCAGAGGGTTGGGCAGAGAAACCCAGATCCTAGCTTCAAGTCACAGAGTCTAATGATATTTCATGGAGTTGGGGCAATAGTGAAAATTACTTTCACTATTACACATTTCACTTTACACATGACAAGGACAGCCTACAGGGTTAAAAAAAAGTAGATTTGCAAAAATTACCTTAGGAGATATTAGCAAATATATCCATTCCATTTTCCCCATGAACATATATCATAAAAAATTGTCCCTGTACTGAACTTGGTACTAAGTAGTAAAAACCCATACTTCACCTTGATATTCCAGTTAAAGACATTTAATCTAACTTATGATAAGCCACTGGTTTCCAGCAATGATTCTATCCAAAATTGGAGATCATACATATATTATCTTTCAAATCAAAGGAAAATTAAAGGACCATGTAATTAAAGGAACATTTCACTGTACGGTGAATGTCTCAAATGAAGAACCCATTATGTGTGGGTTACCCTGCTAAACCTACATGTCTTTTATTTAATTGTCTACAAGTCATAGTTCCCTTACTATTTTTTCGTCTAATTTAAACATTATTTTCAAAGGTATAAAACAACATTTGTGCTTTCCTGCTTTTCCTTTCTTGTTTGGGAAATTTCATAGTCCACCCAAATCTGTACTCTCTCGATGGGATATCATGATACAGTGATTTGAGAATCACTGCTAATGATTTAGACAAAGTAAACAGTAAACCCAGGTTTCTTTTTGCTTAAAAATAATGGTCAAAGGGTAACAGGAGGTCAAGGGAGTAGAATTAACTGCCTCACTAGACACATGAACATCCCTAAAGCACACAAAGTGCTGAAGGATTACTTTTTAAATCTGTTAGTCTCTCCTGGCATTTGAGGAACAAATGTATGTGATTCTTCATGTGTACTCAGTCAGGTTCTGACTTCATTCCTCCACATAGGTTTACTCGGTTACGTCTTAGGTAGGCTCTTATTTAAAAGAAACAGTGGACATTTCTATGACTATAACTATGTAAAAATCATGTAAATACAGAAACAAGGACTGAAAGGAATTAGGAAAAATGAAAACAGGTGCTCTGTTACAATGATGGGATTCTTAATGATGTTTTGGGCAGGGTCTTAGCTTTTTTATTCGATATGTTGTGAAAAATACAAAACACAATGCATTTACACTGATATATGTTTACGGGCTTTAAAAAAAATCCAGATGACTACATGATCACATTTCCAACAACTGTTGCACCTCATTCTAGTAGGAATTGTTCACATTCACATCAGAAACCGAGGCATAGGAAGGGAACCATACTTTTGAGAATTGGTTCTCAAAATCACTCTGTGTGACCCTCACAATTTCCAGAGGGGGAAACTTGCCAAAGGTAGTAAAACTGAGTTAAAGGTGGGTGAAGAGTCCAGTTCCCTCTCAACAATAAGCTTACTGGGAAAGCTTATTATAGATTCTTCTAATTAAAATGGCATTAGTTGTTGTTATTTACCTGAAATAATTTTCTGTATTCTTGGACTATTCAAATACAATAACTAGAACTAAATTTTTTACCTATATGGGGTAGAGAGTCCCATCCTTAGACTTATCAAACTCTGTGAAGTCTGATTCATCTCTAGAAAATCATACTAGCTCCTTTCTACAAGTGGTTGTAGGCTAGGCTTAAACGTGGCCAGCATTATTACAAGCCAGAATGATTTAGACAATTAACTCCAACCCATATAACAAAAAGATTTCAAAAGCCAAATAATGGCCTCACTTAATTAAAGCAATATCATTACAACAAAATTCTAATGTCTTCCTTTCTGCAATAAAACTGTTTTTGAGAAGGCCCAGTTATAGGAAGTTTTATATATCATCAAGTCATAGCTCAAAGACACTGACTAGGAAAACTAGTTCTTTCAAAGAAACTTTCAGTGGATTATTTTACAAAGCAAATGACCTCCTATTTTCCTTTTTTTAGTTCAGATTTTTCTGTGTAATGAGGGAAGGGGCGACTTCCCTCCTTTCTTTGGGTTAAAGGGAGTCCGAGGCCCACTATGGAGCAGAGTAATGTAATATGGGCAGCCTGTTTAATGCCCTCTTCATTCCTGGGACCAAATTCTAACCTTTGACTTGGGGGTGGGACCCTAGATTTTGGACCAAAGTCTACACGAGGCAGCAAAAAACAAAGAAGTAAGCAAGACTAAAGACAACATGTCATAGTAAACTACCAACAAAAATTCCTGGAGACAGGAAATCAATGAGCACAATTCTGAACAAATTGGTTTAGTCCCAACCTAATTAACTTGTCAAGCAGATCTCCTGTGAATCCATGGGGGAAAGAGGCGATGTAATGGATTTGGGAACACATACCCATTTGCCATCCTAAAAGGCTTGACCATGACCACACACACCTCTGTCTACCCCTTTCAGTGGTTTTAAGCTGGGCTTAATGAGTGTAAAAGGACAATTTCTTCCATACAGTCTCTAAGAATAGACTGTTCTCATGCATTCCAAATGCTCAGTCTCCATGGAGGAGGCTACCTGGTCACAAGCATTTTCCAAGAGGTAATATATCCTCTCCTCCTCCTCACTGGTATCCCCCCTCACCGCCCCAACAACAAAACCAAACAACTTCTAACCATCCTGAGAACTCTGGGAGACTTTTTTTTTTCTGGGGGAAAGGGAAAGAAGCCTTAAGAGGGGAGTGGGAGAGTGGGGAAACTCCTCTTGTCTCCAAATGGAAAAAAGGCCTTAAAAAGCTGGATCAAAGCAAGAAAGGGAGATGGGGGAGAAGAGCTGCTTAATTACAAAGACACCCTTTTAAAGAAGGCACAGGCTCTGGGAGAGGGCTCTTAGAAGAGGCACGGAAGCAGATGTACTCACTTAGAATTCTGGCACTCAATGGGACTTCAAGATCATAGCATCCATCCCTCTGCTTTCTGAATAGAACGTTCTTAAGGCATTCTAGAGTCTGATTGATTCTTTATAAAATTTCAGATAAAGCAATTCCACAAAACGGCTTGCTTAGGCATTAGTCTAATGAATCCTACTTCACAAACCAGAAATGAGATTTCAATTTCCAAATCCGAAAGAGTATGAGTTTTTTCATTCCCTTCTAAAATCTTTTAAATAGGTAAAGAGATCCACAACTTTCACAGAAAAGTTATGCTATACACAAGCATGGTCAGAGGTTTACTTGATATCTAGACTAAGAAGTTAGGAAAAGCACTTTCAATTTTACATAGCCAGACTTTTCCAAAGAACGAAGTATCTTAAAGTGAAGTATGATGTAGCGCCAGAAAGTGTCTGCAAATGACACCCGATAAACCCATACAGAATAGCTGGAACCTGAGTTATCATCTGTAAATAGATGCAACTACTTTACAACCACCTGGCTATTAAAATGTCCCAGGCCAGTTACAAAATGTAGTTTGGTCAGGCCAACGTTTCCCTCCCAGATGATCTGAAACATGACAGCCTTTAAAATTGTCACCCTATAATGTCCCCTCTCTCCCTTCCTGCTTTCCTTCCCCCCCCCATTAAAATCAACCAGTGAAATTATTTAAAAATATGTCACTAATTTTTCCCAAATAAGCAATGGGTTGGGGACACCTTGGTAATAGGTCTTTGAACACCACCCACCATTCTAAGTTTGCCACGTTTGCCCATTTGGAGATAGGTGGAACATGGGTGAAGATTTACCCTGCATCCAAAATGGTGTCTTAAACTATTCTTAGCTACTAAATGAGGGGTGCTGAAAGGTCTAACTGAGAAGGCTTCACAAAGGCTGGCCTGAGAAAGGACTTTTCACAAAGCCTAGTTCAAGGAGACTTAAATAACCTTAGCCCTCCAGTATTAAAGATTATGGTGACAAATTATCTTCCTCTGAATGGGAGAAGAGGGTTATATTCAAAAAAAATTTAAACTGCCTCCCAACTTCCACTCTTCTTGGGGTGGGTGGGGAAGGGGAGGGAGGAGGAAGGAGAGCTAAATTAGGCACTCTATGTGTTGGAAAATTCTTTCTAAAATACATGCTAGAGATTAGAAATGCTGTTTTTCACAAACTTTCCCTTGCCTGTCTCATTTGATTCTATTTAGTCCCTTGCTTCAAATTATTATATTATTAGAGGCAATTTACCAGGGACTGCTCAGTCTACAAAAACTGTCACTTCCCCTCTCACTTATCCTATCAAAAATATATCGATATGTATTTCCATATATCAATAAGTCCATGTCGCTGTTGAAGCACCAACAATGACACAGGCTTGGAACCCTCAAGACATCTGCATGATCCGCAAAACTAGTCACTAACATATGTAAAGCAGATAAGTGGCAGCCTCCTCTTCAACACACACACACACACACCAAAAAAGTGTAGCGTTTGTTGTACAACAGATTACTCCCAGACTTTAAGTCTTCAAGAATTCAAGGCCCCCACCCCAATCCTAAGCATTTAGGAGGAACACATCTAGCAATCTGAGATAAGCATGGACTTTTCCTGTTGAGCTAAATGTAGACCTCAAGTTCCCTCAGGTCTTTAATTTCTTTTGTGCTTAATTACCTAGAGACCTACAAGGACCCCAGGAGGCAAGGAAGTAAAAGTACCGTCAAGTTTTGGTACCCACTAGCATCTCCGACGGGAAAGAAGCACGCACTTTTTAACCGATTTAGCTTGCTGCACATCTCGAAAAACTCAAGGCCAACTGCAAAGAAAGTAGAACACACGGGCATCCCCGCACGCATGTAGATCGACTCACTCATGCCGAGAGCATGATCAAGTTCACGCCACCATGGATTCCTGCCCCAGTTCCCCTGCGAAAAGTAACCACGCGTCTCCTACCCCTGAAGGCAACGAAGACAGGGTGACGAGTCTCCTCTATTTGCTCTAGTGGCTTCGGTCCCACGCCAGAGGCCAGAGATAGGCAGGCGGGAAGCCCCAACTCCCGGCTGCTCCCTCTACGCTGCTCCCTCCGGGCTCTCCTTGGTGGCAGTGGAAAAGCAGGATACCGGGCCGCAGGGTGGAGCAGTGGATAGTCGGAGACGAGACAGACTGGAGGTGGGGGTGGAGGGGGCGGTGAGAACTAACAAGATAAAGCCAAAGAGAGAGGAGATGGAGAAATAAATCAGGGGTCTACCAGCTTGGGCAGTCAGAAAGCTCCTCGGAAGGAAGGGGCGTGACTGCGATGATGGCAGCTCCAGGGCAAAGGATGAGAGATAGGGGAGGGGGGCGAATGGGTGGCTTTTCTTCTTGCGGTGAGCGGCTAGAACCGCCCAGGAACGGGGAGTGGACTAGGGAGGGGGCGGAGTAATGGGCGGGGAAAGAAGGGAGGGGGCCTGCCTGGAGCCTGGAAGTTGGGCTGTGCTGAAGAGAGGTGGGGCTGGAGGGCGGGGAAGTTTCAAACAATTGAATGGCGGTCCGACCGCTCGGGCAAAGGCGGGGGGCCCTCGCTCTGGTCTTCCCACTAACATGGCACAAATCGGTTACAGTAACCCTGATCATCTATGCAAGGACTGGCTGGGAGGAAGGGAAGGGTTTTACAAAGACTAGAATAATAACCTACGGCAACGGCGAAGCAGAGTCGAGTGGGAGGGCCAGTGCAGCTCCCCGCCCCAAGCGGAAGGAAGACAGACAAATAGAAATGCTGAAAAGCAGCTTCTTGCAAACCCTGCTTAAAATAATGCTGGAAGGAGCAACGCTTCTTCATGTTCCTTCCCTTGTTTCCTATTACCAGTACGCCCCCACTCATGTCGCAGCTTGGCAAGTACATGCTCCTTTTTTCCTCTGCTCTGCCTAGACTCCACCTTCCTCCCAACACCACCACCACATCGCCGCCCACCTACCCCAGTGGCAGGCCGTGCGGGCACCGGGGCTGGCGTGGGCTGGGCTCTATGCAGCCTCCGCCCCTGAGCGGGCTCGGAGGGCGGGCGCCTGAGGAGCGGGCCCAGAAGGGGTAAATCCCATCCACCACTCTTTTGCGACTACGGGTTGGTTAATCCTGGCCTAGGATTCGCTTGTGATTGGTCACTTGCGCTGTCGATCTGGTCCTTTTGTCCCACCCGCCCTCAAAATTAATAAAACTAAACAGGAGGCTATTGTGTTGCTCTCCGTTCTCCCCAGCCACTGCTGAGAAGAGAAAGCTGAGACGGTTGACTTCTCAGTCTGCTAAAAGAGTGCGACAAAGTGCCAGCAGGCTCCGGCACACCTTTATGTCACTGTCAGGCCCTCTGGGAATAGGTAACTTTTCTTCCACTTTAATTCGTTAGTCCAGGAAAGGGAAAAGTACGTGAAGTGTCACTAAGGTGTTCACATTTCCCATTGGTGAATAATTGATATTGTTTAAGAACACAGAGGGTTGAGAACAGCATCCTGGGACAATGAAAATCTTCCAATTTACGTCTGGGAAATGAAAACACAAAGAAACAGTCTAAGGGTGGCAGAATAACATGGAATTTGGAACTATTAATAAAGGAAGAACTCATATCCAGCTCTAGCACGTACCAGCTAGATGTGTGACTTTTGTGAGGTCGCTTAACATCCCTGAGCCTTAATTTTCTTATTTAAATAAAAGCTACGCGGGCTGGCCGAGTGGCGCGTTGGTTGAGAGTTGGCTTGGGACGCCAGCTCTGAGCAGCAGGGCCCAGGTTCGGATCCCACATGAGGGCCAGTGACACTGTGCCCTCTACAGCTAAGATGGTGAACCACGGCTCCATCTGGAGCTGGGCTGCCATGAGTCAACGGCAATGGCGTGGGCTGCAGTGAAGCTGCCGTGAGTGGCCAGTAGCCGGCGTGAGCTGCCAAAAGTAGCAGTGAGTGACCATCTAGTGGCCAGCAACCAATCTGCCTCAGCCGAGAAGAGCACAATGATCACAATACCAACATGGGCCAGTGGGGCGACACCCTCCACAACTAGAATGAGGAACAAAAAGGACAGCAACTTGTCTGTTCCCTTTCCCCAATTCCCCAACGCTGTTCCCCTCCCCCAATTCCCCAATAAAATCTAAAAAAAAAAAAGCTATGAAACACACCTTATTACTTAATTGCACTGGTATATGAAAATAAAATGAATTCTGTGTGAACACTGTATAAACCACAAATCATGCCACACATGCTGCTTATGCATGTTTGTTACACACTGGAGAGACTCACATCTGTTTGAGAATCAAATAGTCTGCTCATCTGGTTTTTTGTTTTGTTTTCTTTTTAAAGATTTGTATTGGGGGATGGGAACAGCGCTGGGGAATTGGGGGAAGGGGAACAGACAAGTTGCTGTCTTTTTGTTCTTCAGTCTAGTTGTGGAGGACGTTGGTTCCCTGCCCCAAGTTGGCACCATCATTGCACTCTTCCCGGGTGAGGCAGATGAGTCGCCGGCTTCTGGACGGCCGCTCACTGCGGCTGCTGGCCGCTCACGCTGGCTGCTGGCCGCTCACGCTGGCTGCTGGCTACACACGGTAGCCCATGGCAACCCACTGCAGCAGGGGCTGCAGCCTACAGCCGTCTGGGGCAACTCACACGGCAGCCCAGCTCCAGGTTGAGCTTTTGTTCAGCATCTTAGCTGTAGAGGGCAGTGTCACTGGTTCCGAACCGGGGCCCTCTGGCGTCCCAAGCCAGCTCTTAACCAACGTGCCACTCGGCCGGGCCATCTGCTCAGCTGTTTTAAGCATTTACATCCAAGGCGTGTAGGTCTTGTGGCTACATTTTAGTAAGTCAACTCTTTAACTACAGTTTTGGGGGTGGGTATGAAGTTGGCTTCCTGCAGTTAGAATAATAAATTACCCCTTTTCTAATCAGGGTGGGTGAGATTACTTTTTTAAAGAGTTCTGCAGTGACGCCACGACCTACATCTATTGTGGTGCTGGTACTGAAAAAGGAAATCATGCTGTGTATATCTGAAGTGAACTTGAAAAAACAAATATGAGGGAACATTTACCATGGAAACCACCATTCTCTACAGATCCATATTTCCTAGAAAACGTTAGAAGGAGGAAGCAAGTCTAAATGTAAAGGTCTTGACAACACAGAGCTATTATAATGAACTCACGCCAATAAAAAAGTGACATCCAATTCAAGCCTGCCTAATGGGAGCCTTCTGAGGGGCCATGGATCAAGGCATGCAAGGGGAAGTGTGCTCAAAGGAAACACTATCTCACTGTGAACAGGGTCTCAGAATATAAACCAAGTGCAGGGAAAGTAGTGGGTGGGAGACATGTTGTGGGGTAGCCTCAGTATATAGAGCACTCTAGGGCTGCTGAAAGATTCAGAAGCAGGAGCATGGGCAAAATGGATTCTTGGTATGATTCTGTTTGTGTGAGCTGAAGTTATTCGGGTGAGTTTTCATGGAGAAGGTGAGATTGTTGAGTGTTAAAGTCATGGAGACACCTGGTTTGTGAATCAAGGGAAGATTATTCCTGCCTCGTTATTTGGAGGAGGGGAGGTGAACAGCAGACCTAGATAGGATGAGTATATGTTGCAAACTACTGCTGATCACCGTGGCAACAGGATATTGCTAACAACGCTGTTAAAATGGAAAGAGTAGGACCAGCCGAGTGGCTCAGTTGGTTAAGAGCACGAGCTCCGAGCAACAGGGTCACCAGGTAGATTCCCACATGGGCCACTGAGCTGCACCGAGCTGAGCTGCCACTGAGCTGCCAACAGGAGGCAGGATGCCTCAGCTGGTGAGAGCACGTGCTCCTAACAACAAGGTTGCCGGTTCGACTCCCACATGGATGGTGGGCTATGCCCACCTGCAACTAAGATTGAACACAGCACCTTGAGCTGAGCTGCCCTGAGATGCTGACAGGTGGCTGGATGGCTCAGTGGTTAGAGCATGTGCTCTTAGCAACAAGGTTTCCAGTTTGACTCCCACATGGCATGATGGGCTACGCCCACCTGGGACAAAGCTGCTGACAGGCGGCCTGATGGTGACTCTACTTGGAGAATGAGCTAGCTGTGCCCTCCATAACTAAGATTGAAGGACAAAACTTGGCTGCTCCCCTTCCCCAATTCCCCAACACAGTTCCTCTTCCCCAACTCCCCAATAAAATCTTTTTTAAAAAACTTTCTAAAAAACATAAAATGGAAAGAGTGAAATATGGATAAGGAGAAATTAAAATAGTACTGAAAGGAGTAAAGAGTTCCTCTCCACCACTCCATTCTCATAGCCCTTTTGTCCCTTTGTCTCTATGCCTGTGTATAATTTTCAAAATATATTATGTCTCTTAAATATCCTTCCATCTCAGGATAACTTCCTTTACCTCATTCTTTGTCATGATAGCTCAGTGTTCCATTGCACAGATGTGCGAAAATTATTTTAGTCATTCCCCTGTTGAGGTAATTTTGGCCATTTTCCATTTTTTGCCATTACAGAAGACACTGGCAAACAAATCTTAGTACAAAGGCCTGGCAGCTGTGTTTGTAGAATGCCTGCCCCTATCCTTGAAGTTGCCCTCAAAAGACTTTTTCAATTACACTTCCCCACAGCTATGGGGGATCTTCATACAATGGAAACTCCTAAAACACTTAATTCCCCCCCACTTCAAATTCTGCCTTGGGCATTATTCTTCTCCAAATTTAAATTTTGATGGAGTAAAATGAGAACAGCTCTGAAATTGATGGTGGAATAGGTTGTGTGTGATTCACTTCTTAGCCTGTGGCAAACAACATGTTTTTTGGTACCTGCGCTTTGCCCAGGTCTCTGAGCTTCTTAGGTGTTCCTTGTCTCCTGCCTAGCAGGATTTCATTTTATTTTTACCCTGAAAACACGTTGGTTTGTTTAAACTGAGTTTGAATTTAAAGCTATGCTTTACTAGCTCTACTTAAAAGGAAGGGGGAGGAGAGGCCAACATCAACAAACATTGATAGGGTCGCTATTATGGACAAAACTAAAAAAAAAAAAACAGAGAGAGGAGACTTGGCTCCTGCCTTAAGGGTATATACAGAAAAAGACAACTAACAAGCCCATGCTACCTGCTAAGTGAATGGGATTGAGAGAAAAAGCTGTAGAAGTTGAGAACAGGGAGTGAAAACTAGGTCCAGAGAGTTTATGCAGCAAAGTATGCCACATCCATTTAACTAATCCCCAGAGCATCCCTACATCTTCATATCCTGACTATAAAATATGGAGAAGCCTCTGGGGGATACAAGGAGAATTAACAACTAACTGTAAAACACCTATGTAAAGACACTGGGTTGCTTAAGTATATTAAGAACTTCCATTTATCCATAATGGATATAATTACCAT